GAAATATTTCTTTGAAATTACGATATTTTTTTCTCAGCGTATGTCTATAATGAACTTTAACTTCTTCATGTCGACATGATTTTAAAAGTAGCATTACACTTTCAAATCTTTTTTTTAATCTGTCGTGTTTAGTACAGGATTAGAACGTACAGAACTGTGCCTTTTTTCTACTCTCGTCCTTCCTCTCTGTGAAGCCTCTTCCACTTTTATCCAATATTATGCTTTCGGTGTTATGCTTAAACACGAGAATGCGTACGCATTACGTTAAAATCCGTTACATTCGTCAATATTATTTCAGTCGAACGAGCACTGTGAGATACGTCTTCAGCATTTTAAGCAGTGCCATTCATAATCTGTCAGTTCAGCGATAGATATGTAAAGACGATCCTATTATTGCTTCTTGCTTTCCCTCTTCTCCACCTGTTTACAATATCCTACGAAAAGCAGTAGCACTTGCAGCAACGAGCTACCGTACTGCGCGTAACGAACACGAATTTATACACACGCGAGTCTTCTATCAGCCACTCGTAAATCATAGTAATGTCAGCGCCGCCGTGAAAAGTTGGCGAAAGATAAACAAAAAGCACAAAAAGGGACAAAGACGACTAATCTTTCGTTATATGTATTCGACTAATCAAAATTAGCTTTAAGACGATGTGATACATACAAGGAATTTATGTGAGAATTTATGAGAATAATCTGCAGTGTCATAAACGTAAAAAAATTTAATTTCCGTTCTGATTTATCTATGCGTACATGCAACATATTTGATAATAAGTTCATTTAACTTTTTTTTTTATAAGAATTTAATTTTAATAGTACGTAAAATTTCAAACGTTTTGCTGAAGAACTTTGGAGACAAACCACGCGTACTCTTGAATATTTGCGGCAAAGGAATGGAGAAAGGGGACGAGGCGAGTGAAATTCCGGAGGCCGTTCGCAGGTAACGTACACCCGCGTACACGCGGAATGCATAATTTCTCTCTCTCAGCGACAGAGCTTTGCGGTCGCTGGCAGCGTGCCGTGGCGGTGATAAAAAATACGCGCGATGAAAGCCGTCGAAGTGAAGTTTCGCGGATTTCTTGAAACCGATCGTTGTTAGTGGACGACGAAACTTACGAAATAACGCAATATTTTGAGCATAATGGGCATCCACCGACACGATTTCTCTGGAGCGCTGAGAGGGCCTCAGTTTTACCGTGTCGACCTAGAAACGCCACGGCCAACTGTTGCACTTTGTAGAAAATTATTTGGAGAATGTCTTGCAGAGATTCTTGTGAATCACGAAATTTTTGATGTGCCTATTTTTGAAATCACGAACTGTCTTAGCACAGTTTTTCTAACACGATTATAGTATTGATCTCCTTTACGATTGATTTATGAAAAATTGACTCGCGTATATAACATTTAAACCATCTTTTTATACAATTTTGTATAATTTTAAATATAATATTAATCAAATATAGTGTAATGGTTGCAGATCTAACGTCTATTCTTTATACATATAGTAGACAATCGACTGGCACATTATGGGTAATTATTGTTTTTTTTAAATTTTCTTATATTGCATTGCTGGGATCACGCACATGGCGAGAAGGACGAGTATCGGCGCGTACATCTGTGTTTCTAATTTTTTTTTTTATCGCAACGCTTGAAGTGCAGGAGAACTCGCGTACGTCTCGTACAAGCGATAATTAGTTGCGCTTCCTCGCACGCGCGAATAATAAAGAACAAGAAAACGAAGGAAGTTAGTGGCATACAATAACGCGAATGACCACAGGTGCGAAGGCGCGCAAAGCCAGTCGAGTAGTTGAAACAGACTACGACACAGGAGGATCCCGCGGCACACGATGATCTAACTCACCCCTCCTGAGGGGTAGCTGGCACGTACTGCATAATGCTGCTACCTGTGGCTCTCATTTAAATGTACTAAACCTCGCTCACTCGCGCGTTCGTTTTCGACTCCTCTCCTCCTCTCTTCTTCGCTCTTCTCAATATACGGTTTCGCTCGTTTCTTGTGTTCAATTCGTTCTTATCTCCCCCCCCCCCCGTCACAGACGAGACGGGGCAATCTTTCTCCATAATTAATTATCCCGAATGAGTACCTGTTGCTGTTGCGTAATCGGCAATTGATCAATTTGTCTCTTCTTAAATTTCTCTTGAAAATTTTACATTTGCAAAATTTTTATTATATTGTGAATAATAAAATATTTTTTGAGAAAAATGTTTCGGTAAAGGAAAAGATATACGGTTCCGTAGCACTTATACTTTATTTTCTGGTCTGTTGTGGAACATTGTAAATATTTTTCGTATAGTCGTTATAAATTTTTTGTTATTTTAAAAGAATTTCGCTAGAATTATACATTGGAGTTTTGTGCGACGCGAAGGATTTCATCCACTTAGGTTTATCTTTTTTTCCACTCACTATGAGACGCGATGACGATACAAAATATCGATAACGAAGGCGTGCGTAATCAGCGAACGAGCCGAAACCAACGGTTATCCGTGCACCTGTTGCACCGCGAGGTACGCGAAAAGGAAATGAAACTGTCGACGGGCAGGATTGTACCGCGGCGGTGCCTGAAAAATTGATCTTTCGTTTGCGTACGTGACGAGTATGCTATCATCGTTTTCGTGGAAGAATCGTAGGACGCAGCAGAATAAACTCGCACAATCAGACTTGCGTGATCCAAAAGCTCGATGGAAACAATGAGACTCTTGTGATTTGTGTCTTGACGGAGGATTCTCTGTGTGGTTTAGTTATTTTATATACTTCATATAATTACTTGAATTAATAACGCCTTAATCGTATGTGATTCCCACATACGATTTTCATAACTCCGGATATTCTCACAAGATATATTTTATCCCAAAGATGGGATTATTCGAGCTGTGCGTCACGTCGTGACGTCTACCGTGCCTCATACAATTATTCATTATTAAATCAGTACCTGTTGCGGGTGTGCCGTGAGAGATCGCGACAATAATCACCGACCGTGATCGTGAAAAAATTTCTGAGGGCATCCGTTGTTTAAAAAAAAAAATGATATAATCGGTGAGAGATATATGAACGTGAAGAGCTGCATAGAGATGAGAAATTGAGTGCACCTGAGAAGTGAAGCCGCGGGAAGCTGCGTCACATGCCGAACGTAGACGTTGAAATGGTTCGAATCGCGCTACTCCTAATCGCGACGGCAGGAACAGAACAGAATGAAACGGTGCGGCTGCGGCACAGCGCAGCACGGTGTGGCACGGCACGGTGTGGCAGTAGTAGCGCGGCACGGTGTGGCAGCGCTGGCGCGGCGCGGCAGCAGCAACGTCGACAGCAACGTCGGCGCTAACGGTGGTGGTAGCGGCGGCGGCGGCGGCGGCGGCGGCGGCAGCGGCGGCAGCGGCAGTGGCGGTGGTGGTGG